TTTTTAATTGATGTCATAATAGTTCATAACATTGTGAAATTTTAGTTGTACATTATTGTTTTTCAGTCACCATATAAATGCATCCCTTCACCCCTTGTGCCCACCTCCCAACCCTCTTCCCCCTGGTAACCACCAAACTGTTGTCTCTGTCTGTAGGTTAGTTTATCTTCCACATATGAGTGAAATCATTTACTGTTTGGCTTTCTCTGTATGCCATTTTTTAATACAGATTTTATAATGGTATAGCTCAAATACTGAAACATTTATCTTAGAAAGAACTCACCAAACGAAAAAAATCCTAAGTTACTAACTCTCAATTACCAATTGCCACTTTAGGGCATAATTTGAAAATTAAATTGACTAAATGAAAAATAAATACATTGCTAGGGAAACTTCCTTTGTTGTAGAGTGGAATGTGAACAGAATCAGGATACAGTGTGCTACGGGGCTAGTTGGTTGTTTCCACTTTAGTGAGCGAGTTTCAGTTTTTAGAGAGGGATGGATTTTGACCAGAGAACAGGACAACTGGCCCACAAACATCCCATTTATAACTTCCTATCACATTTTTATTTAACAGACATCAAAGTAGCATTCACTAAGTGTAAAGCTCTGTGCTGGGGAGAGGCACAAAGATGAAAAGGCTCTGTAGAGACCCTCACAGGGAGAGAGAAAGGCACACACAATAATGGAAGGGAACAAAAAGGGTAAGGTGTGAGGACAAGATACCCAAACACAGCAGCTAAGAGTCTAGAGGGACCCCTGAAACCCTGGCCACAGCTGGGGTTGAAGAATAGGGCAAGCACCAGCCTGAGGGCACCAGGTGTGGCAGGGCCTGCTGTCAGATCCTCTGCACAGCATCTCCATCAGGAGTGTGGGCCTGTGTGGACACAGGGGGAGGGCGCTCAAGCCCTCAGCCAGGCCTGGCTTGTCCTTTTTCCTGCAGGTGAAGTTGCCTGACCTCTGTACCTGTTTCCTCATCTCTTTAGAATGGGACAGTGTAACTACCTCACATGGTTATTATGATTATTAAGTTAATGCATGTAATTGCCTAAATGGAGCCAGGCTTGCACAAGTGCTGCTTTCATGTGGCCCATAGTGACTACCTCAGGTTGTTGAGCGGGTCACAAAAACAGTGTCTTTCAGTAAAGGCGGTACCTTATGCAGAGTAAGTGCTCAAGTGTTTGGGGTTTTTTTAACTTCTTTTATTGAGACAAAAGTCACATAATGTAAAATTCATTTAAATTGTACAATTGGATGGTTGTTGGTACATTCACAGTGTTTTGCAACCATCATCGCTAATTTCAGGACATTGCCATTACCCTAAAAAGAAACCTCATACCTGTTAGCAGTCAGACCCAACGCTCCCCTCTCCTGCCTCTGGCAATCACTAATCTGCTTTCTGTGTCTATAGACAGGCCTATTTTGGGCATTTCTTGTAAACAGAATCATATATGTGGCTTTTTGTGCCTGGCTTCTTGCACTCGGCCTAATGTTTTGAAGGTTCATCCATGTTGCAGCATGCGTCAGTAGTTCTTACCAGTAATACTCCCTTCTTTGGATAGACCACATTTTTATCTGCTTATCAGTTGACGGACATTTCAAGTGTTTATTATTGATACTCCAGTACTCAGAGTCTGTAATTCCAAACCATGGCAAAGCATACCAAAAACACTGCCTCTATTTGGCCACGGCTCACTCGGGTTCCTGCAATTCCCCTGGAGGAGACAGGCCTGTTCTTCGGATGAGAACACTGAGACCGAAAGACGGGGAGACTGGCTGAAGATCCTGTGCTTTGTGGGAAACCCCGGGATTTATGACTCCGGATTCGGGAGCCCCTGGGCCAAACTAAGAAACGCTGTCTTTGGCCGAGCCGGGAACTCCGCACCGCGGCGATCGCCTCGCGCCCCTCCCGGGAGCGGCTAAAGGAGCGGGGACGGGGGCGCTGGGGCGGAGGGCCCAGCCTGAGCTCAGCCAAGCCCGCGGGGCGTCCGGAGTCCGGGCAACGGCTGCTCCTCAGCTGGGCGGCTTGGGGTCTGGAAAACTCGGTGCTCTGGCACCCCGACGCCGCCCGTGCAAGCAAGCACACACGGACGCGTACACGCGCCGCAGCGCCCGCCCCCAGCGCCGCGGCCATGGGTGCTGCCTATGAAACGAACGAGGATCTGTTCCCATCGCTGCCCGGTAAGCTCTGTAGGCCATGGCGGGAGGGGGTTATTTATCCTGAGAGCACCGAGAAGCCATTTCAGTGAAGCCACTGAAGGGTTTCAGTCGGGGGGAGTGGCTCTTCTGGCTGAGGGCGGGTCCTGGATTTGGGGGCGGGCACAGCGGAAGCGGTGAGACCAGTGAGGAGCATATTCTCAATGTTTCCATGGTCTGCAGGGTAAAGTTTAAACCCCTTAACGTGGCATTCGAGATGACTCCAACTTTATTTCCCATTAACCTCCTCTTTCACACACAATATGGAACTTGTGGAACTATTTAGTGACTCTAAAATCCCCAGACCCTACCCCCTACCTTTCTCCATGCTGGCCCCTCTACCCCTTGTTACCCAACTCATTCTTGAAGGCGCATGTCAATGCCTCCTCCTCCATGATGACCTCCTGGGTTCCTCCATCAGCGCTTCTCCCCAGACTGAGAGCATCTAGTTACCCTTCTGGTTACTCCATCTTGTTCCATGCCAGTGCACTGTTGTCGGGCCCCCAGCCTCGTTTGGATCTGCACCAGGCCAGTGCCAAGCACTGGGTGATTCTCAGTAAATGCTGGTTTGATGAGTGACTAAATCCTCAGCTGAACCCAGCATCTTGTCCTCAAGGAAATGATAAATGGATTATTGAGAAGTGCTCCCTTCTGTCCACATTGATGGACAGAATACTCATATTATTTTCTGACTATGAAAGGAACACATGAGCATTGTAAGGAGACCTAACAAATGTTCACTTTGTGCCAGACTAGGCACCGGGGATACATGGGAACTAAGACACAGTCCTTGCCATTGGGAAACTCACAGGCTGTTGGGAAAGAAAGACTCAGAAAGCATCTTCATCCGGAAACATATGGTAAATGCTGTGATGGGGCTAAGCATGGCAGCTGCGGGGACCCAGAGGGGGCACGAGGGAGGGGCTGAGAAGGCCTCAGGGGATGCTGATGCCTGAGCTGAGTCTCCGAGCAGCAGTAGGGAATAATCAAGTGAGGTGGGGGAGAGAGAAGAGCGTTCCAGAGAGAGAAAACAGCACAGTTTGGGGAGGGCAGGGCAGGGGGACCAAGGAATCACAGTCAGCTCAGTTTGGGTACAAGTACAAGGTGAGGCAGAAGGAAGGAGAGAAGGAGCCCATTAGAGAGGCTGGCAGGGGTGGGCGGGGCAGGTGGGGCCAGGTTAAGGAGACTGAGCTTGATTCTGGAGGCCATTGGGAGTAATGGAAGGGTTTTAAGCAGGGGAGTTGTGGTATTAGAAGGAAAATGATGATGAGAATATTTTTAATAATATTATATCCCTTCTGAATTTTAGAACACTCCCATATCTACTATTCATTTGATCTTCATAACAGCTTCAGGAGGTAGCTAGAGCAGAGTTTACAACAGTTTAGACATGAAAGAAGGAGACTCTGTGGGATTAGGTGACACTTTGGGGTAATATCAGGTAATTGCTCAGAGCTGAGCTCTCGGGCCAGGCTCTGTCCCAGCTCTGCTACTAATCAACCGTGTGACCTTGGGGTCTCTCTGGGCCTTAGTGTCCTTCTCTGTAAAATGGGTATAATCACAGAGCTGACCTGTTACATCTGTCCATTTGTCATTCACTCATTCACCAAATAATTAGTGAGCTCCCACTATGTGTTGACACTGTGGAGGTGCTGGGAGCAGGGAAGAAAAGAGATGAGGTCCTGGTTCACAGTCCATTGGAAAACATAAATCTTAACCAAGTAATTGCACCATCGGTTTCAAACACAAATGTCTGCCTGAACCAGGCACTTAATGAATGAACTGAGCTGCACGTGAGACGACAGGGAATGGTGGGGACTACGGCAAGCCAGAGAGGGCATGCCCCAGCCTAAAGTAACTCAAATTGGAAAATTTTAAGCAATATGTCAATCAAAACAGGACCCCACACCTCATTCAGCATGAGGCATGCCAGTTGGCAACCCCTGATTTACACACTTGTGATAAGTGGTCTGAAGGAAAAGTATAGGTTGTGTTATGCAGAGGTAACATGAGGATATAACAGAGCCTGGGAGCTGGAGAGGTAACATTTGGCCTGAGGTCTGGAGGATGAGGAGGAGTGGGGAGGGGATGGGTGGGGGAGGAGCACTCCTGGCAGAGGGAGCAGCATGTGCAAAACCCTGAGGCAGGACGGGCTTGATCCTTCAGGCAACAGAGAGAAGGTCAGGGCATCTGGGATGTAGTAAGGAAAGATAGGGGAGCGAAGAGACGGGAAAGGTTGGCAGAGGAGGGCCATGGGACTTTATTTTGAGAGCTCTGGAAAGTCATGGAAGGGTTTCAAAATGGGTGATGGGTGAGTATATAAAAAAATAATAGTGGTGCACTTACTATGAACAAAGCAACTAAAATGGACTGATTCTAAACGTCTCCACCACTCAGTAAGGTAAGTACCGTCATTATCCCCATTTACAAGTGAAGCAGTTGAGACACACGGAGGATAAGTGACTTGCCCTAGACCATGCAGCCAGCGAGCGGTGGGAGGACTCAGACTGGAGCATTCTGGCTCCAAAGCCTCTGTTCTTGACGGCACTACACTGCATCGGATGATCAGACCAGATCAGAAGGGCATTTTAAAAAGATCCTTCTGATTGCCAGTAAGGAGTACTGGGGAGTCGGGGGGTGGGGGGTGGAGTAGGAGTAGAATCTGAGAAGGTTAATTAAGAGAAAGCACATAAAGCCCTTAGCATAGTACCTGCCACTGGGAGTGCCCAGTCACGTAGGATGCAATTATCTTCATCATTTGAGCAAGGCGCCGATAAAGCCGGGCCTGGAACCCAGGTGCCCCGATGCCCAGCCCGGTGCTAAAGCAGTTTTCCTTCCTGACTTCTTTAGTCCTCTTCCTGAAAGGAATTCACCTCTTAACCCTCTTCCCCCAAGGGCTCTGCCAGTCTGAGACCTCAGCTGACGAGGAAAATGCCAGCAAGGACCCCGTCTCCGATCCTGAACGGGTCATTGCCCACTGCTTCAAGCAGTTCACGAAGGGCTTCCACCTGCCTCGAAGCCGCCGGCGGATCATCATCTTCCCTCAAAAAGAGGATCCCATACCCATCCATCCCACGCCCCAGCCCCGGGCTCCCCTACAGCCCATCTCCAGCTTCAAACCCCTGGAAGCTAGGGATGTCCGAGAGCAGCCGGAGTACACAAAGACCTGGCTGAGCCAGAGGATGAAGCTTCGTGAGGACCTGGAAACCTTCGGCAACTTAGAGAGGTGGCTGCAGAACAAGCCCAGCCTCACGCCTTCAGAGGCCAGCATCTTACAGACGATCCACAAGGAGCGCGAGGCCCAGCTGACTTCTGCCAGAGCCACCGAGGTGACAGGCCCCATTTGCCAGGTGAAGACACTGAGGGGTTAGGCGCATGCTGTCATTTCATTCCCTTGGATTAGCAGGATGGGGGCTGTTCACCCCGCTTCACAGAGGAGCAAACAGAAGTTTGGGAGAAGAAAGGGAGGTGAATTGGTTATCTAGTGCTGCGTGACAAACACCCCAAAGTGACTTGAAGCAACAAATGTTTTTAATCTCACTGTTTCTGAGTCAGGAATCTGGGAGGAGCTTAGCTGGGTGGCTCTGGCTTAGTCTTTCATCTCAGGATGTTGGCCTGGGCCACAGACATCTGACGGCTTGACTGGGGCAGGAGGAGCCCCCCCCCCACCAGCTGGCTTGCTCCCAGGGCTGTTGTCAGGAGCCCCAGTTCCTCACCACACGGACCGCTCCATAGGGCTGCTGGAGGGTCGCAGAGTGACAGTCGGGGAGACAGCCAGGAGGAGGCTGCAGTGCCCTTTATGACCTCGTCTCAGGAAGTCTCAGTTTCAGAAGATTTACACTATCACTTCCACCATATTCTGTTTGTCAGAAGCAAGTCATTAAGCACTGTCCACACTTGGGAGGGGGATTAGACTCCATCTTAAAAGGGAGGAGAGTTGAAGAAGTTGCGGCTGTATCTTCAGACCACCCTGGGAGGGGTGCTCCTTGGCAGCCCCTCTGTGGGGCAGTCTTAATGCTCACTGTCCGTTCATTCGTTCACTGGCACGTTTGCTAAGGGCCTTTATGTGCCAAGCAGGTGCTCAGGGGCTGCTGTGAGGACCACAGCTGGGAGGGTGGGAGAGAACGGAGGATCCCCTTTTGTAAGCATGGACACAGAGGCTCAGTGAGGCCAGTGGATTTTCCAGATCCATGGAGAGAGTAAATGGCAGTCAGTCCCCAAGCCCTCATCTTCCGACTGCTTGCCTCTCTGCGACATTTCCTTGCAAAACAAACACTTGAAATTTCTCCCAGTTCAGGTGAAGCTGGGATAAGAGGTCACGTAACCTGGGTTTAAACCCAGCTCTGCTACTTCCTAGCTGTACAGTCTGGGCCTCAGTTTCCTCATCTGTTAAATGGGGATAACCATTGTGCCTACTTGCTAGGGTTGCTGGGATGTCTAAATGGATTAATTTCTGTAAGGTGCCTAGCACAGCGCTGGGCACATAGTGGGCACTCAATAAACGTTTGCCGTCTTTAGTATTATCGCAGTCTCATCAGCGTCATTTGGGTTGGCCCAAACACTTCAGAGTCAGTCCTTGGTGTAATGGTAGTGAAAACCCCAAGTTCATGGGTCTAACACACCCTTTGCTGCCAGCATCACAGCATCCATGAATAAACACTGGACTTGGGTTAGAAACCCAGCTCAACTGCTTACCTGCACTGTGAGCATGGGCAAGTCACTTCACCTCTCTGAGCCTGTTTCCTCATTTGTAAAAAGGGAAAGTAATACCTGATACCTAATTCACAGCATTGCTTATTCATTCAGCAAACAACTACTGCCTACCTGCCTAGGGCCTGGGGCTTTGTTCAGTACCAGGATGCGAGGTGAGGGTATGTAGCTAAATACAACATGGCCTTGCTCTCCAGGTGTTCGCACGTTAGTGAGGGAGACAGACACATCAGATTAATGACTCTACTACAGTTTGCTACAGGTCATTAATAGAGGTGGGTCCCAAATGCTCCAGGAGCACAGAGGAGCTAAAAGCTAGGGAACAGGAAGGCTCTTTGTAAACTGTCGAGTGCCGCACTGAGGTAAGGGAGTATTATTGCGAAACATTCTCATTCACCCGGAAGTGGAGGAGGAGTAGGCTGTGGACGGGTATGGAAAGAGGGCAGAGTCTTCTAGGCAGGAGGCCCGCAGGAGCAAAGCTGGGAGGTGGAGGAAAGGGGAACCCCGTCGGGCTCCGGGCAGGGGCGTATATTTTGGTGCACTGAGAGCCCAGTGGGACTGTAATAGTGACTGGTCTGACAGGAGAGATGTGGATACAAATGAAACTAGCTCTCACATTGTCCAAGCCTCTGATTTCTGAGGGGAAAATGGAGGCCCAGAGAAGCGGTCTCCCAGGCGTTCTGTGGCAGAACACGGCCGCCCCGGGCTTGCCCGAATCCAGTGCTCTCTGCACTCCATCTTGCTGTCTGTTTAGAGCCGCTCAGCCCCCCTCTCCCATTTCTCTCCAGCTCTGGGGATCTCGTGCCATTGGCCTGTCTCCCCTGAACTCTCCCCTCTGCCCCACTCTCTTGCCTCTTTCAGAAGAAAGGCCCCCAGCCCCCCTGCCAACTGTCCCAGCTCCAACTGCCCAGGCCCTCCGCCCTGCCGGCCTTGTGCTCCTACCTGCGCAGCCACAGGATCAAGATCCTGGGGATGTTGAACAAGGTGGCCTGCGGTGAGAACCAGAGGATCTCCAGGGAGGACTTCACTGAGGCTCTGAAGGCGGTGAGTGCCTCCCGCTCCCTCCGGGCTAGCCTGAGTGGGGAGGGCCTCCATGCACCCCCCACTGCTGCCCCCTCCTCTGGTCCTGGACCCACTGCAAAGTAGACACAGGGAGCTCAAACGATCAGCTTTATTACTTGTAAAGCCAGACGGGAAAATGTGGCTTCACCTGTGGCCACATCAGACGCCTAAAACTCCCCTTGCCTGGGTCTGACCTTGAAAGGTCCTACCTTTGTGGACAGTCTGCAGAGCTGAGCCGTAAACCAGCCAGCTGCCTGGGGAATCTCGCCCATCAGACCCCAGAACCGAGCAGAGAGATTGCTAGGCCTTCAGTCCTGCCTCTAGAGCCTTCTAGAGCTTCTCCAGCTGTCACTGGCATATGGATCACATAGGGGTCTTGTTAAAATGCAGCTTCTGACTCAGTGCCTCTGTGTGAGGCCCAAGATGCTGCATTCTGACGAGCTCCCCGTGACACCCATGGTCCTGGTCCACAGACCACACTTCTACTGGCTAGTCACAAACTGAAGTTAATTGTAAATAAATAAAATAAAAAATCCAGTTCCTCAGTCACACCAACCACGTTTCGAGTGCTCAGTAGTCACATGTGGTGAGTGGTTCCTCTGTTGGACTGTGCAGATGTGGAACATTTCCATCATTGCAGAAAGTTCTGTTGATCTAGCACGGGTCTGCCTACTATGGCCCAGGGGTCAAACCGAGTCTGCCTCCTGTTTTTGTAAATAAAGTTTTATGGGAACATAGCCATGCTCATTTGTTTGTGTGTTGTCCTGGCTGCTTTCATCCCATGAGAGCAGAGTTGAGCAGTGATGACAGAGAGCCTATGGCTCACAGAGCCTAAAATCTTTACTATCCGGCCCTTTCTAGAAGAAGTTTGCTGACCCCTGGTCTAGATGAATTAAGCTTTTATTTAAGCACTGGACTTGGGGTCAAAGCCTTTAAGAAAAACTTTAGGCAGTTGACTGCTGCATACTTTATGAAATATGTGAATCCTCACTGGTTTTCACACCATCATTTTATGACACGGAAGTGTCTGAACAACCTTTCAAGGCATTTAGAACAAAAGATAGAGGGTCTTGAATCTTCCTGACCAAGAAGATGAAACACTAAATCTTTCCACACCAGGAGAGTTCTGATCTTCTTTAAGGAAAGTTCAGTGGGCAATGACTATGGTCTAAAGCAGCTGAAGAATTATAGTTTTATATTTCCTGTAAAACTTTTTCTTGTATATTCGCTGTTGCTGGCCAGCATTATCCTCCGCCCAAGTTGCTCACCCTGCTTATCGTATTGCTGATCCGATTTTACTTCAGTGAAGGGAGGCTTATGTGTCCCTCATGGGCAAGAATGATAGACACGTGAAATCCTTCTTCACATCCAGCATGGGAAAGCGGGGTGTGGCATGGAGTGATTGGCATGGAGTGAGGTGGGAGCCCAGAGGAAGAAGTAGCAGACTCGGCAAAAACGGTGGCATATCTGGACTGGGCTTTGAGGGAGGGATAGGAGTTTTTCAGGCAGAGAGGGGGAAACGCCTGAGTAAAGGCAGGGGGTGAGAAAGTGCAGGGTGTGTTCAGGGCCCGGGGAAGAGCTCTGAGCTGCTGTGGCAGAGATCTTGGGTATGAGCTGGGAGTGGCTGCAAGTGAAACTAGATGGGGCGGTGGGGCTAGGCTGGCAAGGCCTTGGCTGTCCTTGCAGGACGTGTGGATTGGAGCCTGCCCACCCTGGGGGCTTCCCTTCTCTCCTCAGGTCAGAGTCCCTCTGACAGACCGGGAGGTGGAGGATATTGTCATCTATCTCAGCTCTCTGGGGACGCACAGCAGCATCACCCTGCATGCCCTGACCAACACGTACATACAGTGGTGTTTGGCTGAGCAGAGAAGTGCCCTGCCAACTGGAAGGGAGAGTACATACCCACTCCCACCCCCGTGCCTCCGCTTCCCCATCTGGGGAGCAAGCCTGGTGGAGGCAGCCTTGGCTCGCTTCCTGAGTGTGTTCTCCAACTCTGGCTCACTGTAGGTGGGTCAAGCCTCTGGAACTTCTAGGCCCAGGGATCAACTAAGGAGTAGATATTCTCTTGAGTGCCCCACCACCGTGTCCATTCAAAGATGAATGAGGCCCAGCCCTTGTCCTTAGTGTAGGATTATCAAAGGGTGGTTTCAGCCCCCCAAGCCCACCTGATACACTGACCCAAACAAATAGCAAGCCTTTCCATTCGTATGTGGGCCCAAGGCCTTCTTACTATTAATCTATACCTTATTGATAAAAAGTAAAGTTCAGAAACCAGAATTAGCACGTTTAGAGTTTACTGGAAAGTTTACTTTGGTATTTTACTCTCAGGGACATTTAGTAGGGCTGTTGTGAACAGTTGTATATGTTGTGCATAGCTCAAGTTCCATTTGCCAAGCCGTGTGCTCCTGGAGCTACATCTGTCCAGACGAAGCACAGAGGCAAATTAGAAATGGACTAGCCATAGCTCTTGCTATGAATTTACTCTACAACACAGGGTGCATCATGGTTCTTTAGAGTTTAGTGCTATTGTTGTTGTAAAAAAAAAAAAAAAATCTCAACAACTACAGATGGAATTCAAGCCCTCCCTTGACCACTGCCCACCATTCCAGATCCCTCCCCAAATGTAACCACATCTTTCTTTTTCTACATGAAACAAATCTTGCTTTGCCCCCACTCGCCAGGTTGGCGGGAATGAAATTTCAGACATGTTGGGTGGGGTGGTGCTCCTCGTCCTCCCTGTGGTCATGTAAGAGCCCTAGTGGGGCAGTGGAGGGGTTTCCTTACATGGGTGAAGATTTGGGAGGGCCTCTGGAGGGCCTCACGGTCACACTGAGCTAGGTGCTTGGCATCCTCACTGGTTGGTTCTTTTGGAGGCAGCAGGCAGCTCCCATAGCGTCCATTCCTCAGGCCCCCGGAGCGTCACCTACAGCGCAGCACACAGATTTCCGACCTGTAGCCTCAACAAGCCCTGGGCAGAGGCACTGTCACCCCCAGGCAGGGTCTCCGCCCATCTCAGAGTCCCAGGGAACATGAGCGCCCCTACAGTTGCCTCCCGCATGCGTCACCACCCCCACAGTAGCCATCACCCTTTGTGTCCATCCTCAGGGTTGCTCGAGTTGGGCGTCATTTCCCACCCATGCTCTTTTTGCCTTTTCATTATGAATTACCAAAGCGCATTGGTATCCATGTAGTTGGCTGGGGGTCATTTGGTGAATGATCACCGTGCGCCACGATGCGTATTTGCAGCAAAGGTATTTGGGGCGTATCATTTCCCAATAAATAGACTTGAAGCCAAGAGCAGGTATTTGCTTGAATGGTGCTCTCTCAGGATCATCACGGAGTTTTTTTTCCCCGGAGAGTGGCAGTGGGTAGGGGAAGCAGACTTGGGTATCTCTTGCTTTGCCTAAAGGGGCAGCAGCATCAAGAGTCTGGGCACCAGCTCACAGAGAGAAGGTGGTAGCATTTGGGGGCATCCTCTGTGGGCGGGGGAGCGTTACCCCAGCATCAGCTCAGTTTATCCTCAAGTCCCCGGAGTGCAGGGCTGCCAGTCACACTGTACGAGGAGGGAGCTGAAGCTCCGGGAGGCTGACCGCCTGGCCACCGTTGCAACACGAGAAGGCAGCGGGGCCAGCACTCCATCCCAGCCCAGGACAGTGAAGGCCTGAACCAGGGCAGGGCGGTCGGGTGCTTTCATTCACTCGGATCTTTGTTGAGGACCTACTGTGTGCCGGGCACACTTCTAGGAGCTGGGAACACAGCAGTGAAGAAGCCAATGCCCCTGCCTTCAAGGAGCTCCCATGTGAAGGGTTAACCAAGACGGTGTCCCATAGCGATTAATGCTTTGAAGACAGAGAACAGAGTGAGGGGTGGTCGTCAGGGAAAGCCTCTGAAAAGCAGCCGCTGGAGCTGAGAGCTGAGTGACTGAGGAGGAGCCAGTCTGGGAAAGGGCATCCTAGCAGATGTGACCTCAAAGCCCAAGGCCCTGAGGCGAGAAGGCTCCCGGGGACAGAAGAAGTGCGGGGGGCTGGGTGGAGTGAGTGAGGGCTGGGCGTAGGAGACGGGGCAGGTGGCCGGTCAGCTGAGGCCAGCTCCTGAGGCTGTGCAGATCAGGGGCGGGACTCGAGGTGCTGTGGGAAGCCAGTAGAGAGTGTTAAGCGGGGAATGAGGTGATCTGGCTTATATTTTTTGTTAAGTCCTATTTGCTGTTTGGTGGAAACAGGACTCTAGAAGGTGAGAACGGCAACAGGAAGGCTGGGTTCACGGACAGGTGAGGGAGGAGGAGGCCCGCTCTAGGGAGGCCCAGTGGAGCCGGAGAGCAGGGACACCTTCAACACACATCTCAGATGGCGCTGACCAGACACGTAGGAAGTGAGCAGAGGGGTGGCCCAGTGCCTGCTCGGTGACGGTGGGTAACTGCTTGGAGGATTCCGTGGCTGGGCACCCTCTCAGTCCCTCCTTCTTTGTCTCGTTCCTCCGACTCTAGAGTATAGATCTGCTGAGCACAGAGTTTCCCCACAGAGTGCATCTCAGAAGCAGAAGGGCAGTTTGGCCCCAGAGCCTCCGAGGGTGGATCCACTAACTGTGCCCGTTGTCGATACCCAGCTGGAGGCACGGCCCATGACCCTGGAGGAGCTGGAGGACGTCGGCAAGCGGTGCCGAGAGAGGAGGCGGCAGAACAAGGTACCCCCGCCAGCGGGGGAGGGCACTGGGCTTGGCAATTGGACAGGCTTGGGTTCCAGTCCGCGGCACCTCCACCACCTTCTAGCTGGGGGAACTCTTGGGAGCGGGCTTCTTTACCTCTCTGTTCCCTCATCTGTTCCTTCATCTGTATAACAAAAACAATACCTACCTCACAAGGTTTCTGTGAAGATGAAATGAGATAATGTTTTTGAAGGTACTGAGTTCCCCTCCTCCCATTCTTTAATTACGACTTTGCCTCCTGAGACCGGGCTGCGTCTTCATCACAGCTGGAATCCAAGCGCCTGGCATGGGGCCTGGCCCTGAGTAGGCACTCCAGAAATACATGACCAGTGAAGGAAGGAAGAACTGATTGTGTGAATTAATTCGTCCAGTAAACATTTGTTGAGAGCTTGTGATGTGCCAGGCACTCTTCTAGGTGCTCTGAGAACACAACAGCCCCTGCCCTCAGGAAGCTGAGTCTAGTCAGGGAGGCAGGCAATATTAATGTAATACCAAATACATACATATTTTTATATTATCTATAAATATGAAGACATAATAAAATGTTCAGTATTGGTAAGTGCTATATCAACTAAGATCTGATTCAGCTGCATGACAGGAAAACCCAAAATGTTAGAGCAGGGATCGGAAACCTTCCCTGGAAGGGGCCAGATAGTAAATGTTTTAGGTGTTTCAGGCCGTGTCGTCTCTGTTGCAACTACTTGACTCTGCACCACAGAGCAGCCACACACGACACCTAAACAAATGAGTGTGGTTGTGTTCCAATAAAACTTTATTTTATAAACAAGTGGTGGGCCAGATTTGGCCTATGAGCTATACTTTGCAGATTCTAGTGTTAGAAGCTTGAAAAAGATAGATTTTTCTTTCCTTGTAAATAAATCAACAAATAAGAAGGCCGCAAGTGGCTACACACTCCTCAGCCCTCTTCTGCCTTGCTCTGTCATCCTTAACAGTAGCTTCCACCTGAAAGTCACAGATGGCTGCACTTAATTTAAATTCCCACGCAGCCAAACACTTGAATGTAATGTTTCAATAGGATGCCTCTAGCGCATCTGCACTGTAGTGTACTGGATACATTATACAGTCACGTGTGCACGTCCGCACGTCCGCGTACAGGGCTCTGCACACAGCACTGCGTGCGCTGACCATTCAGGCACTCTTCAGGGGTAGCCTTGACCATGTGTGATTTTCTCCCGAGTCACTGACTTTAGAACCTGAACTTCGGTCCCACCGTGTATTCTTTGCCATTGCCCATTCTGGGGGCCGCATGGGGAGAGGCAGATAAGGCTCAACATCTGCTTTCCAGCCAGGAGGAGAGAGACAAGGCGAAGAGAAGCGTGTGGCAACCTCTCTTCTCTTTGCAGCTCAGGATCCCCTCCGTTGAGTACACGGAGCAGTGCCACCTGGTGCACGGTGGGAATAAGCGCGTTGACGACCACTGCCTCCCGTCCACCATCCAGGGGGAGATGAACGAGCTCATCAACAAGTCCCGCGTGAACGACCTTCTGGTCTACCTGAAGTGCCAGGAGCTCTGTGGGTACTATGGCCTCCTGGTGACAGAGGACACCCTCATGAAAGGTAAGGGCCTTGGTGGCTGGCCCTCGGGAGGATGCCAAGAGGGCCCAGAGCCCGGGCAAGGGTGGTGTCCACCTGAGGCTTGTCCTTTCCCAGCCAACATGCGCCCAGCCAGGCTGCTGTGGCCTGTGGTGGAGACACTGGGAAGAAGGAGGGGGAGGAGGGGAGGAACAGCCCAGCCTGTTTTGCTGATAGATGAGATTTCTAGATCTCAGAGGTGCACAGGCTCCACAGGCCTGGGGGTCCGGGTTCCCCAGCTGAGCTTGGTGAGCTGGCATTTTAGAGCAGGAAGCTCCCAGGACAGGAGTTTTGGGTGAGGGAACCCTGAGGTTGAGCATAAAGGAACAATGCCAGTTTCAAAGAGGGAGATTTGGTAGAAGTGATACTGCTAGGCTGTGTTGGGCATTTCCAAAACCACCTCCCTCGGCCAGGCCAGTTTCTTGATTCTTCTGCAATCCTGAGGTAGGAATGCTCCAGGAGACACTTTCTGCTGAGGCCCCTTGCTCTCCGCTCAGACAGCAGGACTCAACTCTGAGATTCCCACACTGGTTCTGCACTCTGCTTGGGGGAAGAATCGTGTCTTCACATATCCAAGCAGATCTGAACCTTCTACATCTCTGGGTAGAGTATGTGCTTCTGAGACATGGGGGTGGGGGAGTGCCCAGCTCCCGATGACCACGCAGCAATGCCGGCATCCCAGATTTATGAATTTATAAATTTAATGGGCAGGTCCCTCACTGTGCTTTAACAACATGAAGGAACAACTGCATTTGAGGGAAGAGGTTTTCCCATAGGACCTTTGCAGGGAGGAACTGTGGTCATACTGGGAAAGGTGGCTTTCTGAGAGAGGGGCACACAGAGAGTGGTGTGACTTCCCTGAGAACAAGAGTTAACAGTCACAATTAATTATTTCCATCTTCTTCCCAAGAGGGAGGGGAACAAGTGCTAAATGTATAGGGCCTTGGGTCTTGTATTAGTCTGCTAGGGCTGCTGGAACAAAGTACCACAGGCTGGGTGGCTTAAACCACAGACATTTATATTCTTACAGTTCTGAAGGCTAGAAGTCCAAGATCAAGGTGCCGGCAGGGTTGGTTTCCTCTGCAGCCTCTCTCCTTGGTGCGCAAGTGGCTGCCTTCTTGCTGCCTCTTCACATGATCTTTTCAGTATAGACACCAGTGTACCTGGTGTCTCTCTATGTCTGCAAATTTCCTCTTATAACGACACCAATCAGACTGGCTTAGGGCCCACCCTAACAACCTCATTTTAGGTTAATCACCTCTTGAAAGGCCCTATCTCCAAATACAAATTCTGAGCTTCCTGGACTTATGGCTTCAACATATGAATTTGAGGGAAACAATTCAGCCCATAACAGGTCTATACAGGGAGATGTCGCCAAGGGCCTTCAGGAACACAGGCCAACCAACCTAAATGGTCATTGTCTCTCACACCTGCTGCACACCCCTCACTTGGCGGCTGCTTGCTGCCCAACTGGGCTGGGAGGGCAGCCACAGCAGGAGATCCTGCAGCTCTGGACACTGACTTTTCACCAAATCATCCTTTTTTCCTCCTTCCCTGATTGTTTCCATGCCTTGGTCTTGGCTAATGGTGGAGCTGCAGCTATGTCCTCTAAAATGCAGGCAGGCTAGCCAGGCACCCCACACTGCTCCTGTGGGTTAGGTCTTTCCTCTGGATGTGCCCCCTTTGTCTGTCCCCACCAGACTATCAAGCCCCTGCTGATTCTCCACCACTGGCTTTTCCTAGCTTCTGGGTCAGTACATGGGTGAGCCTCACCTTCTGCAGGATCTCACATTCATGGGCACACAGGAGCAGCATCCGTGGGCAGGCTTCCTTTTGCTTCTGATTGGTCTAGATGGAAAAGACTCTAGTCCACCAGTGTCCTGGCCACCATCCATTGGCTGTCCTTATGACACACGCGTGATCTGTTGTGGGCAAAGAAGCGCAAACATCAGGACTCCCAGGTCTGTGTTCTAGACTCGAGGTTGGTGGGCTCCGACTCCAGGCCTCAAGCTCATAGGCCAGAATTCTAGAACATCATGGCAATATTCCTCTTCCCAGAGAATATAGCTTTATTGTTTTTCTCTCCTTTATTTTATAGATAATACTTGGACACTTAATTTTTTAAAAAAACATAAAAATAAAAATCCCCCCAGCCTTAGTTGACCGCCATTAATATTTTAGTGACCGTTCTCTCACAAACCTCTTTTTCTTTTCCATTTACACAAAATTATTTATGTAAATCGTTTTTAAAAATCATGTATATATATTTTAAAATGTAGTTTTAAAAATCACTTTTAAAAGTTACCTTTTAAAAGGTAATACAGGTAAATAAAAGGTAAATTAAAAAATACCTTTTTTTAAAAGAAATGTTGATGTTGCACATCTCCCTTTCCCTCTCCTTTCTTCTCATCTGCACAATCCCTGCCCTCCCCCCAAATAACCAACATTAATAACCTGGAGTGTAACCTTCCATCACTTTTTCTAGAACGTGAGCTATTTGTGTGTTACCATCTTAGGATAAGCACTGCTCAATAGTTGCAGGAAGATGGAGACCTGGCCCGGTGTTCTTGATGTTCTGCACTTCTTAGAAAGGTCTCCCACAGATATCTGTGCGACTGATTCTAGACAAGAAGGAAACTGCCATCAGCCAGGTCTCAGTTAACCTGGTGAAGTCTTGGTGCATCTCCCCTCCTCCTTCCGGGACTCCTGACCAGGACGCCCCACAGGCTGGTGGTGCAGCATGGGCCTGCTCCCTGCCTCGGGCCTTTGCTGACCTGGTTACAAAGAAGCTCCCTCATCTGTAGGCCACTCAGCAGCATTGTACCACCCCCGTTTCCTGATGTCACACTATAGTTACATGCCGTGTCACAACTGGGGGAAGCTGGAGATAGGGTCTAAGGGACCCTCTGCACTCTTTTTGCAACTTCCTGTGAATCTGCAATCATTTAAATATAGAAAGTTTTGAAAATGTATGTAAGAAAAAAATCAAACAAAAATGTGAATTTATTTTTAAAGAAGTCCCCCTCTGCCCCGGAAGTTCAGGGAGGAGAGGGGTCTTGGGCTGACCGGCCACATCGCTCTTGCTGCTCCCAGCCCTGCTGTACCCGGGACACAAGATCCTTTTCCAGAAGGACCCGGTGTGCCGGATCCGGCAGCCTGGAGGCTACTACTCGGACTTGAAGAGCTTCAGCCCAAATCTGGGCCTGCGCAGGCCCCAGGGCCGCAGTGAGCCTGCGGCTAAGACGACTGACAAGCTGAGTGTCAAACCCCCTTCTTCCCCTGCCATTTGCTCCTGCCCCGCTGCTGTCCCCTTGGCTGAAGGGGCTGGGATGCTGACAGACATGGGGTGTCACGTTGTGCCAGTGTCTGTGTCCTAACCCTGCATGTCCAACCCAACTGGTCATCATGGACTGGCCAGTCCCCAGTGTCACCCTGGCGCATGTCTCAGGCTGCAGCCTCCTCACTTCAGCTCCCCCACAGCTACCCTCCTGACCAATTCTGACACGATCTCAAGCTCTCTGGAAAAGATTAAAAAGAGGGTCTCCTTAGAGAAACAGGGGAGGCCCCTTCACAGATCATGGGCTGGGTGTCGGGCCCTGCAGAGGTCAGTGGTGGCACCCGGGCTACTCCC